TAAGCTTTAAGAAATTGGCCAATCACGGTCAAGTATGAGTAGAATGCGCGACTGTGATTAGTCAATTTCTTAAGGCTTAGGGCTTAAATCTCTATTGTAGACTGGGACTTAGACGGATATACGGCAGATTTTTACCATCTTTTAAGAAGAACGATCACTTCTGATTTTTCCAAGGACGATACGAGTCGCTTGCGGCTCTGTCCAACGTTAGAGCATTTAGATCTGTTTTATGATGTTCACCTTAACAATAAGTACATCAACCCCACACAATATCTAATTAATCTCTGGACATTGGCGTCCATAAATCCAGAGCCACTGGTCCTACAGGTGAATTATGACGGCCTGTAAAATCTATGTGATCGTTATAACAAATTATAAGGGTTATTGGATGATGTTTCCTCTGTTACTTTCAGATATTACCTGCCGAAAGTGGATGGCCTGTGCTAAAATATTTTGGAGCATGCGGTCGAATCATCATCGAAGAATATATCGGGTTACCGCTTTCCGATTGTTACGACAAATCTTGGATTCAAAGAGCGAAGATAGCTTCGAGCCTTTTAAATGCCGCTTATATGTTTACTTTCAAAAACGAAAAATTCGGTTTTTACTTAACGGATATATCGGCTGATAATATTGCCGTTGATCGTGAAGACGTGGCAAAATTTATCGATTTGGAGAATATTATTGTTGTTGATAAAAATATTTCTCGAGAAGGTAAATTTTCCTGTTGCGAGGAAAAGAGAATTTCTGGTTGCAAGAATACTGTTGATATAAGCAGACGAATATCACATTGCATTCATATTAATTTGTAGATGAATCAAAGAAATGGCAGAAGATACACGAGAACACGTTGCGTCTTGATTGTCCCAACTGTTTTGCATTTTCTGCTGAGGATATTTGCAATCATCATCTAAGTGATCACAATTACTATGCGATTTGTCAGGTACTCGCTATTTTATTTATACATTAACGAGTCAGATATTATATCGCGTATATTTTTGCACACTGCATATGTTAACGTGTACACAGGCAGGAATGTCTGGACATTTTTTTACAATGTATTCTATAATTATAGAAATATCCTGCCTGACCCATTACACCGCATATTTATCAAATCTGTGATTGCAGCTTTTATTGAATTCAGGAAATGAAAACGCATTTCCCGGTGGATTTCTTCACGGTGTACCTATTAATATTGAACAGCAATATCCAGATATTGAGCATTTGTTGCGACAATGTGCCGTTCCCAACTCTACTAATTCCAGAATATTTTTTGGGCAGCGCCTTAAGACGCTGTTGGATACAATTTTAAGAGAATTACCTCAAGACGAATACAACACATAGTAGCTTAAGTTATAAGAATATCATGAAAACTCTTTTAGTATTATTCTGTTGAACATTTCAGATGTGTATCTTCCTCTTTCTTTTATAATCTTTTTCAAAGAATACCTCATACATTTTTTATACTATCTGTAATTTACTATTAGATTCCGACTACTTTATCAGTAACGTTAACACAATTTTGTATAAAACATAGTATATAATCTTAAGTATTAATAAATATTAATAAATAAATATTAATAAATATTAATATTAAATATTAATAAATCGAAGACGGTATAATAAAATCACTTATATACATATATATTATCATGTTTTGCTACTTTGATAGCTTATATTTGTAAAAGATTATTTGATACATTTGTGTTTGCCGAGTATGCAAAATAATTATGCAAAATAATAAAAGGAAACAAAATATTCCGTAATATATTTGCGGCAATACAAAAATATGCATGTCCAATAACTACTATAACTACATACATAGTAGTGATAAAAAGTACTCTATCGCAAGATGGTTTGCATGCGTCAGATTCGATATATTTAATTAACAATATCTAATTTAACAAATCCTCCTTCTTCAAGTCTTGCAAAACCTTTTGTGCCATAGGTCGTTTAGTGGGATCTTCTTGCACTAATTGCGTGACCACATGTACCTAAATGAAAGCACATACACAATACAGATTTAATACAAAAAAATATAAGTGTTGTAATAAATGACAAAATATAATAAATAATTCAATATAATTTACGCTCACCCATTTGTAATGCTTGAGATCATCTGGTATTATACCATTTTTTATATCACGGAATGCGTTACTTAATTCCATTCGGGTTTTTGCTGACATTAACAGCTCAGTAAGGACGACTCCTATGCTGTAGATATCACTCTGTGAATAAAAGGAATTAAAATGAAAGGATATATTAAAATATATACGTACATTAGAGTTTTCTTTCTTTTCTCTTCATTACCTTTATATCACACTTTCCCATTAGTTGTTCTGGTGCTGCATACATACGAGTGCCAACCCCAGCATGTTTATTTCCTATTTGCAATCGACAAGCTAATCCGAAATCACTTAATTGAATTTGAAGCCGTCCCGAGTTCGATATAAATATATTGCTTGGCTGAAGTTATAAATATATTCCATTATATTTTACGAAAGATTGTAACGTCGATTAAAACATGCGCATTGTTACCTTTATATCATGATGTACAATTTGCTGAGAATGCATATAATCGACTCCAGAAAGAATCTGTCGAAATATCTCTTTAGCTAAAGGTCCAGGCGTTGCACTTGTTTTACTAAGCAGCCATTGTTGGAGGGTTTCTTCACACAGAGCCATTTGAATGTACAATGTCATAGACGGCTGATTCTGTTGACAAAATTTTAATATTTATTAGTATTAAAATTTTAATATTTACAAGTATTAAAATTGATCTTTAGCAAAATATACTTTCAATTCACAATCTGTATTAAAACAAAACATGTATAATTTATACAGATTTATATCACATCTGTATTATTTACTTACTTCCTTGGGAGTGTATATTATAGATACTGTCAGGTTAGATTTTTTATGCGAACTGTTACTAGTATCCGTATCTGTATTTGTTTGATCAAAGTTTTCCTTGCTCTTGCTACTGAAAGTCACTGTGTTGGAACTAGAGGTTTTAGTATACTCATTTATATTCGTTTGATCTAGATTTTCATTGCTCTTGCTAACTCGGGAAAACACTATGTCTGAACTGAAATCAGTACTTTTCCCGTTGTTACTTTCCTCAGTTATTCTCTCTTCTGCGATGTCATCCAACGAATGGAGTTCTTCAAATCTTTCACTAATAGCATCACGAATAGCATCAGTGTTTCTATATACCTTACATTGCTTTTTCGTTTTTATACCTGTACACATATTAAAAGATATTTTAGCAATATATTTTGCTCATTGTATGATTGATATATCTTAATATTATTGAGATTCAAACCATTTTTGTGATCGAATAACTCGTCGAACAGCATATTGCACGGCTTTTCTTGATCTTTCGACGTCTGTAATCTACGCGATTCACGATATGTGGATGGCACACTCGAATTATAGGACGGTGGTTCGATCCAAGCCGCTTTGTAGGATACAATATTAATATGATCTAATTTGGCCATTGTTCTGACTTCATTTAATTGCTCATGTATAACATTTACTTGATCGGTGGGAACGTTAATTTTTTTAATCGCATATTCAATGCCGTCGAGACGATGTTGCGCTTTATAAACTTTACCAAAACCTCCCTTAGCAATAAAACTTATTTCACAAAATTCCTCCTCATAACGCAGTTTTGGTGTTAGCGGCCTGCAAATAATTCAGTGCAATGTTATAATGTCACAAGATCTGGAAAGACATATTATATAAAGTACTGTGTAATACTTTGAAACGAATGGAACATTGTCACTTTTGCATTCACTATAAGCAATTGAGAACATCTGCTTAAGAGTCTGTTGGTACTTTTTTTTTAGCTCTTCAAATTCCACTGCATCGTAGGTGTCGTCAATTAAACGCATTTCCTTGAATATCTTTAGGATATCTATAAAATAAACGTCACCACCAGTTCTTAGTAGAAATATCTCTCCACGTCAGTAGTGATGTTTAAAGAAACTGCAATTACCAGAAAATGCTTTGTTTCCGTGACTTTTGTCCTTTCCTAAAATGTCGCATAATAATTCCAGGAGTGATCTTACAACGACTGTCCCGATTATATGCAGCTCCTGATTTTCTGGATTTTTAGATGGCGCGATTTTCTGGTCGCTTGGACTTTTATTAGTATCCCTCAAGCCAATTGTCAATTTCGTATTATCACCTGTTTTTAAACAGACCAGATTTTTCAAATTTCTGATATCATATTGGCTGCGTTCGGGGAGCCGCTATAAGCGCTGAAAACGTCAGTCTATCTTCGTCACCCACTGTATGTCGAACAAAGAACGAAGACGCTTTTAGCGCTGAAAGCGCGCTCCCCGAACGCACCTATTGTAGGATCAGGGTTATCCAAAGTAAGATGGTTGATTCACGGATGACGGTAGTAACTTTAATAAGATAGGTAATTACATTCGCGCTTACATTCGCGTACCCTTCTCTGACTCTCGACTAGAGCTCCCGAGTACACGTGTACTAGACTACACGTGTAATCCGTGCATTTAACTTATCCGTGTTTTAACCCGTGTACACGGATATTCGTGAACGTGACACGTGTACACGTGTACACGAATATCTGTGAACGTGACACGTGTACATGAATATCCGTGTATATGTGACATATGTAAACGTGTAGTCGTGTATACTTCAATAGGGAAATATTTAGAGAATGTTGTGTGAATGAAATTATGTGACAAAATCTGGATAAAACTTGGAATGCTGGAATTATACGTATACATATATATGTCGAACAACATATGCAGAAATAGAGATCTTTCATCAAATTTTGATAATTTGCACAATGTATTTCTAAATAATATGTCAGCAAAACAACTTTGTTTTATCGAATCACTTTTTAACACAAAAACTTATAAAAAAAGCGTGCAAATTGGAAATTTGCACATTGCTTCCATTGTTATGACTTCCTCATAGAGGAAGCTTTAAGAGAGAAATCTAACTTTACTACGATGTTTCTTGAAAGTATCAAATTAGAAATTTGCATATTCTTATTTCGCTCTTAAAGCTTCCTCTATGAGGAAGCCATGTGCAAATTTCTAATTTGTACACTTTACTTTACTTTTTTTCTAATTATACAGGGTGTTTCAGGGTAAAGTGTCCTAACTTAAAATATGAACTTAAGACCTCAAAACAAGAAAAAACTTTCCTCTGGAAACGCATGTCCGTAAACGCTTTGTTTAAGAGATATTGACATCTAAACATTTTTTCATTATAAAATTTTATGAAATTGTTATCGGGTTATAATAAATAATTTAATAGTGTGCTTCAAATACTTTATTATTAAAAAATATGAAAATTTTTACTTAATTATAAATTTTGTTCAAAGTGACGGCCTTGAACATTGAGACAGGCTTGACATCTGTCTTTGACCGTAGCAGTGGCAGAGCGGCACTGAATAGCTGTAATTGTTTCACATCCTTGAATAATTCTTCCTTGTAAAGAATTAATGTCATTAACCGGCTTTTCGTAGAATTTTTGTTTAATAGTATCCCAAGCAAAAAATCCAATGGTCCGTCAAATCCGTCAAAGACAGATGTCAAGCCTG